TATTTAAAAAAATCCTAGTGCTATTTTTTGACAACTGCGTTTTGTTGTACGCAATAGTCGCTTAAAAAGTTGCCAGCAACAACAAATATACAGTACAAGGGTTTTGAGTACCTTTTTTTCTTGACTAAATATTATCATTGAAATTTCCATCATCATGCAAAGAAGGGTTAATCATTAATCGATTTTTACGATACACTATAAATAACGAATTAATCGAATTAAAAAAAAAAAAGAAAAAGTATCAAAATATCTAGTATCTGATTTGTATAAAAAAAAAAAAAAGAAAAAAAAAAGGGTAGACGGACAGGTGAATATGTGGAACTAAAAGAACGTCTATCGAGTGTAATCGACTATCAAAGAGAGAAAGAGAGAGAGAGAGAGGGGATTATAGAAAAGGTGCTGGGAAAGTTGGATGGAGGAGGATGAGTAGGAAGTGGAAATAGAGTAGGAATGAAGGAAAGAGGGAAAACGAGAGTGTGGAAGAGAGAAAGTAGTCGCGTATACGTGGCACACGCGAGGATCGATGCCCAGACAGAGTAGTTGGTCGCTGGTCGCGCTTCTTCCACGGCCCTTCCTCGGTCTATTGATCGCACCGAGAAAACCCTCCCCCATTCCCACCCTACACCCCCAACCCTCTAAGCGTCCTCTCTCACTCTCTCTTTCTCATTTTCCCGTCTTCTCTAGCCCCCCTCTCTTACGCTGCCACCCTTTCTCTGGGTTCCTCTTTTCATTCCAATTAATATCACTCCTATGTTCGGATATATCTTACAGATCTTTTCAGATCACACACACACACACATACACATATATACATACACAGACACAAATAGAGACACCCTAGTGTATCATTTATAGAATTTGGTCTGTGGAAGTTAGAGGGATGATGGTACACGTACCACCATCTATAACCGTAACAATTTGTCTTTTTCTATTTCAACATCCTGGAAAGGAATTTCTATATCTATCGATCAATCATATGGTCAAATTTTCAAACGCCACGCGTTACTCCCCTTAACCCATACGTCAAATGATTTTCACCTGGGAATTACTCTGACACTATGAATTTCAATTGATATTAAATTAGTCACATTGTGTCTATGTAATTGTATTCGTATGCGTGTGTATGTCGTTTGACACGCGAATGTAGACATTAATAACGTACGTAAAACTCAGAACAGGACTCTCTCTCTCTCTCTCTCTCT